CTAGTTTCCTACGCGCCAGCAGCGATGGCATGTGCCGGTTCATACCTTGTTGACAAAGTTCGTTGAGTGTATATATATATGCGTGTTCAGCTGACTGTATTCTATCAGTTTCTGTCAAAAGATCTGTTGAGGATTTTTAGGACTACACATTGTAGGCTCATGGTGCTTTACTGATCGAAAAAATCTCCTGACAAAATTGACCCTCACGTTCGGCCGCCTCGCACCCGCTCGGGTCTTATAGAGAAAGCATCAGGAGTGGAAAAAAGAAAAGAGTGGATGACTTGGTAAGAAGAGTGTAGAGAATCACCTGTGAAGGATGGAGACGGTGTAGTTTTTCGAAAGCATTCTTTCGATCCCGTTTTGGAAAGTCAATAATATGTTCAGCATGATATTTGCAGTATTTGAAGCTAAAACAAGTAATCAATAAAACGATCATTGATTGATTTGTTCTTAGCAATAACTTGCAGATACTGGTATCACGTGTACCTTCCATATTTTTCACCGACATTTCCGCTGTTTGACAGGCCACGTGCACCCTCTCGTGGTTGACTGTGATGTTTCTGAAAAAAAGGTAACTAGGTATTCCGTTCATTCCTCTGAAGTCGCGCCATGCTTTCAGTTTTCTTGACAGAAGTTCCTAAACAACTGGTCGGTATTCAAATAAATGCCCCTTGTCAGCTAGTCGGTCACTGGAATTGGTCATTCTGCTCGACACTTAAATGGGCAAATTCCAGAGGTGATTTGAAAAGTCCTGGATGAGCCGCGAGCGGTCGCGTAAGAATAATTTCTAGAGTTTCTTCTGGTGTAATGGGTAATTACTACAAATTTAATAGTAAGTCATAGGAAATCTATGTCTGGCAACACTTTAGTCGCCCTAAATCGCAAACCACCGCTTCATCATTTTTTTTCAAAGTGAATTAAAGGGATAAATCCACTCCTCTCGATTCTATCAGCCAAATAGTCATGTGTTTGCAAACCCATCTAAATCCTATCTGTTCTAACACAGTTTTTCCAATTATAAATTACCACTAACTATATGTGATGCTGTCTCAGAGGAAATCGAACTGGAAATGACGTACTGAGACCAAAAGTTCGATTCTCTTGCTCATCAGGGAAAAGGTTGTCATAAACGAATTCCGAGCCTTTATTGCACCTTCTCGCGGCCTTTTTTTTGCGTAGTGACAGAGTCACAAAATTTCTCCTACAAGGCTAAGGTCCCTTCTCACGTAATCCGCACAACTAAACTGATTGGGATTGTTAATTTCAAAAATACTTCGATGACTTACCCATCCATGTATCCCCGATTGCATACTGACTGTACAGTTTCCGATAGTAACGACTCATGGATATGGTAGATAACATGATGGTTAGATCCGATTTGAAACGGAACAAATTTGGCTCCATGGTGGTTTGTGGATGTAATTCCTTGATGATATGTCCTGACAGCACCGTAAGGTAGTAGAAGTGGTTGTCCAACCAATAGATAGCTCATGAAGATGGCTGAATAAAAGGGAAATTTAGATGAAGGTGGATCAAAGCTCGGAGATAAGTACCTCCATTGATCGGCATGACGAGGTTTAGTCCTGCTAAAGTTTTGCGTATTTTCGTGTCCAACACTTCAACAAGACTGTCGCAAAGAATACTTTCCAGATCTTCTCTGAATATTCAAGCCAGTTTGCTACAATCAGGCAACTAACAAGCTCAAACAAGAGTTCCGCCTCAAAGAGTTTTAAGGAAATTCGAATTGAATTTAGCTCTGTATCCGATAATGGCGACCTAATACACCCCACATGATGTGAAAAGAAGTATAAATACAACAACGAAAAATTTTTTTGGATCATTTATACCTAGCGAAATACTGAAGGGGTTCCAAAAGGACTACTGACTGTCTGCTCAACTAATGCAGTTGCGGAGAGAATGAGCCGATTTTCCATTGGCATCTTTCATAGTCCACGACCGGTGGCGCGACTGGTCGCTCGACCGGTCGCTAGCGACTGGCGACCAGTGGCGCGATCGGTCGCGCGAACGGTCGCCGGTCGCTCGTGAGATGGGTCCGCGACCAGTCGCGCGACCGGTCGAGGAGGCCGCGCTAGTTATGGGTGCCGCCGTGGACGGTCCCGCGCGATCAGTCGAGCGACCAGTCGCCAGTCGCTAGCGAATACCAACATCAGCAATTAACATCGAATTAAAAAGAAGAGAAAGAGTATCATAAAAAATGAGTCGACAAAAAAAAGGAGAAGAAAAAAACCTCGCGGATACTACAAAAGAGAAATGGATGCTGTTTTGCAAATTATCGAGTTAGTAGCGGAATCCGATTGATTTGAAGTTCATACATACATATACCTGTACTCACTTCATTATGTCTGTCAGACGTTTCCTTGCCAACCATCGTAGAATACCACCAGTCAACTCCATATTTTCTTCAATGTGCCAAATTCTGCTGTAACAACAGGATTTTATTTATTTAATCATGAATGATTTTATGAAGTGCAAATGGGGGGCGGCTTTTAAATTACTAGGCTTCTAAATTTAAATTAACTATTTCCCTTCCACTACCCATACCCAAGTCAAGAGTTGCTTCGGAGGAAAATCTCCATAATTGAAATAGGGATTCATGATAATCGTGGTAGAAAGCAGAAGCATAAGCATAATTCAGTAGACCGTATCGCTCACATATCCAAAAAACACGACCTCTCAATTACTCTGGGACGGACTTATGGAGAGATCTTCCAGGAAAAGGTGTGGGGATTTCTGTACAAGCAGCCTAGCGTCCTTTCATATCTCGAGTGTTATAATTCTTACATTCTATTTACATAATAACAAACCAGGAAATGTCTTGGTTGATATACGGTATCCCTCCGATATTGACCGGAACGAGAGGACCAAGTGAGGCGTTCAGATCTCGGATGGCAAATTGAAAACCACCCGTATTATAAATGAATAACAAATTGTGCTGGTAGATACCTTGAAGATGAGCGTGAAGATGTTCTATCTGCAATAAAGAATAAACAAGAACGATATGTAGCTCTGAAATCGCAAGACATAAAAAGTCCTACTTGGGATGCATGTCTATGATATTTATATATAAATTATGCCTTTTTTTCGTTTTTATCTTGAGTACTTTTCAGTTTTACTTGATTACAAGTTTCTGTATTCCATTGCTGGGATTTCAAAACCCCTTATTATTGAGTAATATGTGATATTACTCTATAAAGGCTTTTTCTTTTCATACGATGGCTGCCTTGGTAATCTAATAGGATAGGAACTTGTTGAGTTGCCTCCTGATTGTGCCATAAGCAGTAAAAGAAAAAGGAGAGTGGACATCCGGTGTGATTATAACTAAATCCGGTCGCCTCTATAGATCGAACTTCTCCCAACGGAAAGTCTGGCTGCAGCCGGTGAGCCGATTGCCACGCGATTCTGCAGCACCCAAGCCCACTGGATTACTTTGCGACCGCGCCCTGATGTAGTGGTAGGCATGAAAAAAAAACCTGGACTGGTTTTGCCAATTTACGCTGCCGTATTATCGAATTAAAACCTCGATCACAGCTATCTTTACCTCAATTCGACTCTACCTCAATATTTTTTTATTTTTGTGTTCAAAAGTCAAATCATTCTAACGTTATCCAGGGTGCGATTTCAAAAAATATAAACCTATAAAATTTATCAAATTCCCTTTTATCTTTTTCAATCGAACTGTGAAGACGTAGTTGGAGGGATTTGGTGCAGTAGTAACGAAATAGTCGCGTCGCGGCGAGAGAGGCGCCGCGTGCGAAGGAATGTAGCAGAATGCAGCAGCATGTAAGAAATACAGGAACAAAAGATTTAATAGTAGTATCATGCCAAAAGTAATAATCGCATAGCGGTTTAGCTGTATGAAGATCGCTAGAACTGTTACAACGAGGCAACTGGTCCGCGACAGCCGCGTGCGGCGGATCGTTTACACAAAACCGTTCCTACTGCCCGTCCCCCTGGTTAGAGGGGTCAACATCTCTGTACTCTGCGTTTCTAACTCCAGTGCTCGGGCGCAGAGAAACAGAAACAAGGAACGTCGTCACTGATAGGGTCTGTAGTGGTGCTTGAAAACAACTCCGATCCAGGGGCATGGAATTTGGAGTCTGCGCCTGAGGATTTTAGGAGCGCCGGGTGAGTGGAATGCTATCCCCTTGTGGAAAGTTGAAACGGTAGAGGAACTATAGTAGGATACTATCTCACTAAAAGTGCGCAGACAACAGCGGGCAAAGCGAATGGCCCTCTCCAACTATATTTCCACCATGATACCAGTTACGATGCATTAAATTAGTAATCAATTTAAGGTTAGCAATTCTAGCCAAGTTGGTTAATCACAATGTTTTATCTTCTTAGCGAATCTTCCTAAAAAAATCATTATCGAGCAAAAAAGACTATGTGAGCTCAGAAAAGGTAAAAAGGTCACTCAAGGTAAATCTTACCCTGAGGTAATAGTCACCACCTACGACGACAGTCAGTGTCGACTCGACTCCAACATTTGCCAATTTGATATCTGCCAATTCCATGATTCCCAGGCATCGCTTCTTTGAAATCGTTGGTATTGATTGTTTTTCCAATTGGTCTTCATAATCATTGCGAAGGTTCCGGATATAGGAAGTGATACCTTTTGTCTGGGTCTAAAAAAGAAAATTACAAAAATCCAATGACTTTAATAATTCAACAGGAGGTACTGGTTGACGCTCCTTATGAGCAGCAAACGGTACATATAGGCCTTTGAAATCGTAAAATTAACAGGACTATAAGGTAATTTTGCTTGGTATTGTCCAAAGTTATGAGAAGTTTTTATTCGAGACAAGTTAAGTCAACTGATAGGGCCCTAATCAATGGTCTTGATAACAAATCAGCTGGGAATAGGACGAATGGGAACCTGAATATTCAGATAGGTAATTGGGCCAATGATTCTCTTTTCGGATAGACCAGCACGAATATCAGCTGGGACTCTTGAAAACTTACATCTATAACGAGATTATAGGCGACAATGAGCTGCACCAGGTGCAGGAGCCGAAGCAACGTTTGAAGCATGAACTGAATCGATAGATATCGCCAACAGTTGTCCATTATGTGCGGCTGACTGCACTCTGATCTTGTCACTAGAGGAAAAGCATGGGAACTGCTCAATATCTCAATGAACTACTTTGTATTGTTATGATTTGTGGAAATAAACCAGTCGGTATCCACCAATCGCTTTGGAATGAGTCATGCATTCGACTTCGGGGCAGTATTGATTGTTTGATAGGAGTTATTCCAGGGAACGTCATGATTTTAACTTCGATTCGGAATAGTAGCCAAGCCTTGGAATGCGAATTTGATCTGCGCAAAGAGCGCGAAAGTCGTTAGTCTATCGATCGACGCACTTTCCTTCTGGGTAAGCTTAGCCCTACTCTATCTCTGGATTATCTGAAATTGAGCTCCTAGATAGCCTGTGCATTAGGAACTGGCATTTAGCCTCCGAATTATTCAAGCGGAAATGATTCCGGTTTTCCCACATTTCTTTACCTTATAATTGTTGTCAGCGTCATAGGAGTATTTGAAGGCCCTTAATGCTGTCTACGAAGGCTGAGGTTCACCTTTGTACTTATCCTCTCACACAAACCTGAAACCATGGGGCTAGCTGCTGGAAAATAATCATCTCCGCCAGGCAACGTTTATGAAAGGCGATCGGCGTTTCGCTAGGCGGTTTTGATACGTATCGATTGGAGGTGCGGATCAGCTTCTGAAACGCGGGGAGGCGGAGCCAACCAAACCAGGGCGCATTTGATACCTTGATACGATATTGATATGATACGACAAAATCTCAGATACTTTTGAAGAATGTGGGGGTAATCATTGAGGACTGTGAGCGGAAATTACGTAATTTCATGCTCTCAAACAGCAACGAGGAGAATCGGTGCTCCCACTCCCATGTGGAGCTTCTCCTCATTTCTTGCCGTTAGCTGGCTGCTTTCTTTTTCCTCTTTTTTCCGTTCGGTTATAAAAAATTGCAATTCTTTCCGAACAATTTCTGCCAGCCACTCTCCTCCCCTCGCCGTTACAAATCCCTGAGGAAGAGACGTTCCTCTCCGGCTTCACCCCGTTTGTGTAGGTCTCTATTATGCCAGCAACATTTTTTTTGAGCTCTTAAGCAAAGCAGAGGCTTTGTAATGCCCCTTTCAGCCCATTGTATTACCAATCCATGGGGCTCGGGTAAAGTTCACCACCGTTGGGTACCCACATGTCGCTTCACTTCCGCCCCCATAAAACTGGCCTGGCTGTTATAACATCCTAGATGTTACTATCTTCGTCTCATAGTATAGGAGAGTTGCATGCACTATGCTTGAGATCTTTCGCCTTTGAAACGTGGGCAAGGATTCTATTATTAATAGCTTTGTGTCTTCCAAGTTTCTTTATAATGTAATCTTTGTCTCCGTCTCAGGCCTCAGCTAGGAATCTGCCTTAGAAAAACCTGGAAGGGAGCAAAGCATAAATTTATTTCTCATCCTGCTATCTTTGCAACAGCCCAGATGTCACGTACACAATGAGATTGGCAAATTCATTGCTAAAATCCAAACGATTGTTTGATCGATTTCGTAGCTCTCATTGACAATATTTCATTGTTCGCACCTTCACATTTTTGAACACGGTTAGCTCATAATAATTAATATTAATAATAATTGGTAGTAATGAATCATCTTCATTTTTCCATAGACTGCGTCAACTCCGTCTCCGTGTTGGTTTCAATCTTGAATTCTTCTTTGTGAGGTTTTGAAGTAGAAATTCAGAAGCAATAAGTCGCTTGGAAACGGTCTTTACTAATTCGTAAGGCTTGCCATTAGAAAAGGATTTCTAAGAGTTTGAAAGCATGGCGCAATCCCAGTAGATACGCCTTGAGTTATTGGACCGATTCACGATCTCATCGCCCTTCCTTGTGTATTAGATGGGTATTGATTTTTGTGAGTAGCTATGTTCCGATTCAGTTCATACGCGTTGTTCATCGAAATTTATCTCTCATGTATTCGATCGTTCGTCGCTACGTCACATCCACATTATCGCACCGAAGTACCCCTCCCACTCATAATCCTTTCTCCCCACATACCCTTTACCTATCAATCGATAACCGATCGATTGAATACCAAGTTGCTACATTGTATGTATGTTGTCTTCGCTGTTATGTAGCTGGGTCGATGATGGCAATATGTATGGGGGGATGGTGTCGATGATGGTGATGGTGCTGGTGGTGGAAAGGGTTGACTTTACAGCGCTCGTCCGCCGCCGCCACCACCACCGCCGCCGCCATCACACCGGAAGTCCATTGCGACGACGGCCCCTACCATCGAGCCGGTTATACCATTCGGAACTTCTCCTCGATAGGGAGTTATTGATTTATCGATCTGGTTCCTGCCCTTCTGATCTCGTCTATGGTATTCCGGTTCCTTTTTCAAAGTTCATTTTATGTTCTGGGTCACACTGCCGTGTTCGTGACGTCACATACGCCTCACTTCCGGTGGAACAAGTGCCTTCTCTTACTGTCATAGTTTGTCGTCGCTATGGAAACCTGTATTTTTCTGAATCAGTCGCTATTTACTTATTCTATCAGCTAGTTCTATTCAACAGTCACCTAAGAATTCGTGGGTTGTGTACATGTCCTCTGTGGGATCCCATTTGAAAAATGTCTCGCAAGACGTAATGTGGTTGCTGGAATTTCACGCTGAATAGTCCTTTGTTTAATTTTTATACTCATCTCGAAGCGAAATACTAACAAAATAAGTGGGATGAGGATGAGCCTGATTTCATAGTTTAGGGTTACAGGATTCTGGGAGCCAACGTAAAATGATGGCTCGTGTGGGTTATAAAGGAACAACTAGACTTCTATTTTTATCGTAACCAGTCCCCATCCTCTCTAAGTAAACCAGAGTTCGAACATCTCGCTGACAACTTGGAAGCGAGTATAGTTTGTGTGTTCTATCTGGAAAACATCCTAAAAAAATTCTGAAAGGTTGCTTGAAGAGGTCCGATTGTCGATTGTTCATAATACTTTATCAGTTAACGTTCCTGATGGGGAAGAATTTTCGGAGGTGATCAAGAGAGTCAGGATGAACGACATGTATGGCTTCAATCCCCCGGCTTTCCCGAAAATGTTGCTTACACCGATAATCTTCCACCTTAAATTCATAAAACTAAAAAACAATTTCCACATGTGCAGATTATCAATCCTGATTGGACGAGCACACCAGAAATTTATTGTAGTTCCAGGTCAGTAGCTACGGTTTTTGTGGATCACTATGAGCGGATCAAGCCAGTCTGGCCAGTTAAGCACTACTGAGCATAGATCGAATGCATAGGCGGCTTGATTACTTTCATTCTTGCATAAAGTAGTACCGTAGGCAGTAGGGACGACGTTTAGGGCAGTACCTAATGGTGAAATGGGTTTGAATAAATGAATGTGTGCTTAATGAAAAGAGTTCTCCATCGGCAGCAGAAAAGTGCATGTGCGAAGCTTTAGCGTGGCACAAGGGGTGTTACAAGTGCAATAATTAGGCTCCAAAGCCCTCAAAGCGTGTCCCACTTGGCCTTCAGATGAATTTAATCATTTTTCACCGCTCAGGGGCCTTACACCACACGAGCCCTCACCTGTGCCTCTGAAGCGCCCTCTATTTCTGAGGTATATATTCACGTGTGTATGCCCATTTTGTTGTATTATAACCTGCTTTGATCAGGTGAATCCTCCTTCTTTAGCAACTGACCGAGGGAAGTAGATCTGGAACGAACCAAGCCAAAACGGCCTCATCTGGATCCCCTTGTAGACCGTTTGTTCATAAATTTTGCTTCCACTGCTTGTTCACTTACCTCGATTCCTCGCTTTTTGAGAATGCTCTCGGGCTGTCAATCATTTTTGTTCTGAAAACCTCCCATTTACGATATATGTGGGCCTCAACATTCAGGGCAGAAAAATGAGATCGTTCTGACAAAGCAAGGAGCACTGCACTCCCGAAAGGCCCCAGCTTGGTGCTAACTTCCGGGAATTATAATGGGAACCAATCTCGAACAGATGGCATGTGGTTTCATTGGTTGAAGCTGTCTTTCTGCATGCTGTTCTCCATCATGCATTATCAATAGATATTGAATTTTTGAATATCATTCACTGAATTTTCTCTCGAGTATTCCATACATTTCATCCAATTTTCACAGAGATTTTCAGTTTAATTCAATTTTCGCTATCAGTTTTCTTCTGTCGAATTGGTGAGCCACGTCACTCAACGAATATGGGCGAAACCCCCACAAGTTTTGCATGTTTCGTTGACGTTCTGCATATACACGAAAAGAAGATGAATTATAAGATGATGTGAATAAAGTAAGGCGGAAACCTTATTTCCTGAGCAACGTTCAGTTTTGCTCTCGCCGCTTTTGATTTCCAAAAAATACAGGATCATTTTAGAAATTTTCCGGCGTATGGGAGGATTTGAACTTTTGTCTCACAAAGAATATACCACTGACTACAACTTCGATATCTAAAATTCTCAATAGAGATTTATCTCGTTCTGGGATGCGCCATACATCCTACTTCAACAGATATCTTGATTCAGCTCAAATGACTTTTCAGCCTCCATAATAACACTAAACCTCTCGTTTGTTTTTTGAGAAAAACGACGGAACTGACATACTTTGTAGAAGTTGCTGCTGATTCCATGACGGTCTAACGACTTCAAACCTTTCTACTTGATTATTTCTTTCAAAATGACATCGGTGATTGTACAAAAATCGTAATAATTCACGTAGGCCCTATTCAATCATTCTCTATGGCTCTATTCAATCCTTTTGCCTTTCAGCTTATTCTACGAAAAAAGAGCCGTGATCTGGTTGTCAGTGTGAGTGGACTAGGTAGATAGGGCTGAACGCCATCTGTAAATCCATTAAAGAGAAGACCGAAATATCGCTGAGCGACGGAGCAGGTGAGGCTAGGAAAGCACGACCTTCTCGGATACCAATGTACGATTGATGGTTCCTTTCCCAACGCCCACCCTGGAAACACGTTTCTCGGGCCTGAA